CAGCTGTCACCATCCAGCATCCTGTTGGGAGTCAGTCACCGGGCTTTGTCAACTCAAATTCTACCACTGAGTACATCGCATCTTCTAGTTCTGTCCAACCTTCGGACATTGTGACATGGCATTGTCCTCTAGAAAGCTCATACTTAGGGACTGTGCAATCAAATTATAAAAAGAAAACACCACAAAACAATCTCACGCTGTTTTAATTAAGTCTAGATTTTGTCCACATTCATACCTGTGGATCATGGGTTGGATGCACTTGTAAACTTTCAGTAACTTGACAAAAGCTCTTTGGTCCCTCCCTTTTTAGCCATCTCTTTTCCCATCTCAAACTGTGCTGTCTCTCCCAAGACATGTTTCAAGCTCCATCTTCACTGTACTTACTCTCCTTAGCTATGGTGTTATTACCCAAGGTCACAGTCAAGTGTGGAACTTGAACAAAGCTTCAAGCCTAGTCTGACCCAATCATTTCCAGCACATGTCTCAGCAATAGATTCCTGTTGATGCTTCCAGGGACTTCATTGTCTTATTTGAAAAACAATTCAAGTGTTTTCAGTCTTTCTCTTAGTAGAAGGTAGAATATTCAGTAGTCATGATACCACTAAGTTTGGGAACTGCCCATAAGCACATGGAAGTTTTGTCTCCAAATTCCATATTCTCTCCACCAGTCAAGACTTTTAAAGACCTCAGTTTCTTTATCTACCTAATGGGAAAGCTGGGTCCTGTCAGCCCTCGAATACTGTGGTTTCTCTTTGAAATACAGACCTCAAAGCCAGGTAGGGAAGATATCAGAAGCCCTTTGCCTCATTCTAGAGATCCGATGAAAAACAAAAGCCTTTCTTCCCTGCAAATAATTCCAGCCTATAGGCCTTGAAATAGCCACCTCCTAGTTGGAGGACTACCCATCCCACTGAAAGAGAACAGACACCAACCATCCTTGGGAAAGGCAAGCTCCACCCTCTCTATCATCATCTTGTTATGTCTGTGCCAGTCAGCTTTCCAATACTACAACAAACTACCTGAGGTCATTGACTTGAAAAGAGGAAAGGCTTGTTTGGGCTCACAGTCCACAGCTGGGAGAGCCTGTTGCTTTCACCAATGATACAGTGGGTGTAGCCCAAGGTAGGCTCAGATGGCTGCCATAGTCCACATGTAACTAAGATATATATAGCATTCTCTCTTTCTCCCAATACCTTTACAAAATGAACTGTCCATTACTAGGACTGGAGATCTTAGGGACCTATGCAGGGGCATGAAAAAGAAAAAGACCCCAGTAACTGCTAAAGGACATAGAGTTTTTCTAGTTATGTAACATTTGTCTTTAGGGAAATGACAATGTGTTAAGCTACAAATCTACAATCCCATCTTGCATGGCCAAGAAAGATCACCAATGGCAGACATAAAACACAAATTAAAACTATAGATTGGGGCTTCTAGTAAAGTCTCTAATAGGACTAACTCCAGTGGCAACTTGCCCCTCCTTGCCATTTCTTATCTAGACCCAGATGTGATGTCTGGAGGAAGAACCTCCACCTATACCTATGAGGTAACTTTGAGATGAGCAGAACAGAATAGTGACAATTCATGAAGTAGCTAAAGCAGTCTTAAACTACTCATAAGGAGAGAGCTATACCTATATTGTTGATGCCACACGATTTCTGCATCTTCATTACTAGCAGTAGATAGAGCCTCGATGTCTCCAATTTTACTACTTTCTTTATTTTTTTAAAACAAGAATCTCATGTAACCCAGGCTGACCTCAATTTTTTTCCTATGTGGCAAAGATGACCTTGAACACCTGATATTCCACCTGGCAACTCCTAAGTGCTGGAATTGCAGACTGAGCCACCATGTCCAGTTCTTAACAGTTATGGAGATGGAGTCCAGGGTTTCTAACAACTGAGCTACATTCCCAGTCCACCCCCCATTCCAGCTTTCTGATCAGCCTTCTTACCTCAACTTTCCCCCATTCCCATCTACCCTATCCTATAAGTGGGCACCAGTGACCTTCCTCACACACAAACCAGATAATATTCCTCTGCCACCACAATGGCATTAGTGGTTTTCCAACATTTCATGTTAGTCAGTTTTCAATGCTATGACAAAATGCCAAAGGGGAACATTTTAAGGGAGGGAAGATTTATTTCAACTCTATTTAGTTTCAACCCATGGTCACTTGACTGCATTGCTTCTGGGCCTGCATATAAGACAGAGCACCAGGGTGGAAGAGCTCTGTGCAGCAGCCCTGCTCACTCTGTGGCAGCCAGGAAGCAGAAAGAGTGGGAAGTTAGCTTTTGGGACAAGATGTACCTTTCAAAAGCACGTTCCTCCCACCAAGCCCCACCTACTAGTAGCTTAAGAATTCATCAAGGGATGAACCCACTGATGGAGCTAGAACCCTCGTGATCTAATGTCTCTCAATAGAACCACCAGCTAACCAGATGGTGAGCTTTCACAGGGGCTGATTCACATCCAACCCATAATCCACCTCTAGATAAGTGTGCTCTTCTGCATGATACCTGGGATGCTTCACAATAAGACTACAGCCTGTCCCTATCCCCTATGCCCTACCTACCTCAGGCCCCAAATATCCTGTTATCAAGTCATTCTATGCTTTATCAGTGTGCCACTTCACACCCTCTGAAGCCATGGTTGTTCTGTTTAAAGGGTTTCCTGTGATGGGCTCCTACTCATCCTCCAATGCCTAACTCTACAGCCACCAGCCAGGAAGACTTTCCTGGGGGCATCAAGGCAAACACCACTTCCCATGGACTTGTCTATAAACCATACCTAACATATCACTTGCCACGCTGCCAAGGAGTCCATCAGCTTCCAATGATTGTGGTCCTAGCCCCTTGAGGCAAGGTCAAAACTTGATCTACCACTTTATCCCCAGCTCTAAAATCCTGAATGAATGTGTAGATGACTGGATAAACAAACACATAGCCTTTGGCCTCCAAGATTCAGAATTGCCATCCTCCACATGCTGGAGTTTCGAGACAGGTAAATCGCAAGATGGCCTGAGAAAGTGTCTAAAAAGGGCACCCCACTGGTGGGTGGACAGCATGGAGACTGCAACCAGGGCCATGTGGCAACTCTGGCACATAAAGAATTGAACTACCCCTTCCTCCCAGTGTTCTTCTCTTCCTCTCTCATCCCCAAGCCCACCCCTTTCAGAAGAAAACGGCAGGCCTGATCCGAGGCAGGAAGACCAGGGCCAAGATGTTAGTTTCTTCTGTGTCACTGTGAACAATGGCAGCTTTGGACAGGAAAACTGAATGTCAGCCTGCTGTTACACTAAGCAAATGTTAAAGTGAAAATGCCTGCTACAAGGGCAAGGGCAGGAACTTGCGGAAGAAAGGAGAAGGAGAAGGTCCAGAGCAGCCAAGCTAACTAAAGAAGAGGAAAGACAGGCCCTGAAAAAAACAAGCAAAACTGACCTCAGGCAGGTTCCAGCCAGTGTTCAACGCCCCTGAGGAGCATGTGACAGACACTGATGTCCTTTCTCTAGTAAACTTCTCAACCCTACAGGCACTTATACCTTTATACACAGTCTGATTTCCCTGTATCAGGTTGGATTGAGGGTAAGGATAACTAAAAAGCCTCCATTGATTCTGGGAAAGGAACCACTCCAGGGCTAAGCAAGAGGAAGAGAAATGGTAGAACAAGACTTACAAGTCCTGACACTAGAGGCAGGCCTCCTACAGTGCAGGGTGCACTTAATCTTATTTTAGCACTTAGGGTCCTGAAAATAAACCTTCATTACTTACTGCCCCTACCTGTGACCTGGTGCGAATTCTTTCCAAAAAAAAAAAAAATGCAAGATTGTTTTGGCTGTCAGGGTTAGAGGGATGCAGGAGGAAGCATCTCCTGATCCATGACAAATCCATCATGGCAGAGCAAAGCAGCTCATATCACAGAAGATGGGAAGCAGAGCTGAGTAAAGGAAGGGGCCAGGACAAGGTATGCCCTTCAAAGACATGCAGCTCCCGGTGACCCACTTCCTGCAACTAGACCCTGCCCTCCACAGTCTTAACGCCTTCAGATCATCTGCTTCAGTTTTGAAGCCATCAGTGGCTTCATCTGTAGAAATGCCCTCACTGTCAGTTCCAGGGTTGGGCTTTCCTAATCCCCTAAGTGTCTCAATCCAGTTAAACTGACAATCAAGATCAACTGGGAGTGGAAGATGGCTTGGTCTACAAAGGGCTTGCTGTGCAAGCGTGAGGACCTGAGTTCAGTCCCCCAGGTTAAAATACTTTGGGTCTGGTGAGATGGCTCATCAAGTACCTATTCATGCCACCAAATCTGATAACCTTAATTCAATCCCCAGGACCCACATGGCAGAAGGAGAGAACAGATTCGCTCTGCACAGTTTTGACCACCATAGCCAGTCATTAAACTAAGGAAAATCTACCAGACATTTCCAGTTCACCCAGTAGAGTCCCCCACAAAGCCAGTCTCCTCCCCTCCAGGATGCTCTTGATGGTTATTACCTATTCCTTATAATAACCTGGTGGCCCAGAAAAGGGACATGTGCCAAGGTCACTTAGCAGCTAGCAAGAAACAGGGCTGGGACACAGCCCACCTCCTTTCTTGGGCAGCTGATCCTGGGAGGAGCCTGAGTACTCAGTAGCAAATTCCAGGGACTCCATGGGAGTTGCTCAGCCCGCCTCCACAGAGTACCGGGAAGGCCAAGCCCTGTTGACTGGCAGGGAATGCCAGGTCTCCTCTCGCGTGAGGACAGTGGCCAGCACAGCCCCCTTTAAGGAGCGCTCTGCCATCCAGTCTTAATTTTAGCTTGGAGGCGTGCCACCGGCAGCTTTAACCAGAGGCCTGCTGAAGTTATGCAGGACAGCTGTCAGGCGGCATGCTGGGTGGGGCCTATTTAGCCAGCAGGGGCACCAGTCTGGAGACCCCACGCCTGGTCCTTCTGCTCCAGGACTGTCAACGGCACCGGCTACAAGGCTCGGATCTCCTCCTAAAGGTGCCGCAGCCCCACGATGATGACCGAAGAGCACTCAGATCTGGAAGCCCGGATCATCAAGGACATCCACTGCAAGGAGATAGACCTGGTGAACCGCGACCCCAAGAACATCAATGAGGACATTGTGAAGGTAGGCTCTGTGCCCATCCAGGACATCATGGTCCTCACACACTTGAAGTCAGCCTCCCCAAAGCCCCTGGAAACTGTCTTCTTTGAAGCCCAGCAAACAGGCAAATCTGTACAGGCCTTAGAAGGCAAGAAGAAAACCTTAGCTACATGTATGATGGGGCTGAGGGGGAGACACCAAAAACACCTTCTTACAAGTAGTTCCAAGTGCCTACCCTGGGCTCTGGCCCCATGCCCAGGAGGAATCGCTGGGACGATTTGGAACCTGGGCCAAGTCGGTTGTTCTACTCTGCCAGGGGCACTTAGGCTGTCTCCTTAGTGGGATTGGGATTAATCTGAGGGAGGTCTCACCAGTGGTCTCTCCAAGAGGCACTAGTTGCCGTCCGGCAGTGACTAGTATTTGTCCCTCTAGCACACTGGACCCTTCAAGCCCTCCCTCTGGTTCCAAGCCTCAGCCTCACGGCAGGCCTGGTGGCCAGGACCAGGCAAAGGCCTCTCAGCAGGCACTTGGAAGGGAACCCTCAAGTCACCAGCCTTGGGTCCCCATAATTCAATCTCCCCTTAAAAGCCAGATCCCCCTCAGAGCAAAGTCCCAGCCATCAGCACAGAGTGACTGTGCTTCCGGACTGAGTATTCAGAATCACAGGCCAGAGCTGCCTGTAGAATTACAGGTGCAGTGTGACCCTTTTACCATCATCCTGCAAACTGTAAAACCATGAGCAGTACTGCAGCCACTCCGGCTGCTATGCCCTGTACACAATTGTAGGAACTGTGCTGTTTGGACATGACAGTCACTATGGCTTAGTTTTATATGTGTAGCTTTATAAGAATAGACTAGTGCCATGCCAGGTTGACAGAAAAAAAAACTGAACAGACAGTGCAGAGATGACCAATGGACCCACCTGCTCTGAAATTTAAATGTTTTCTAGTAGTCGCTTTCAAAAAAGGAAAAATCTAACAGCTGGAATTGATTTTTTGGGACTGACAAGATGGCTCAGCGGATAAAGATGCCCCCTGTCAAAACTTGTGTCCTGAGTTCAATCCCTAGAACCTATGTAGAGAACAGACTCCACAAGCCCTCTGACTTACACACACACACCAGGCTGCATGCATATACATAGGTACACAGAGTAATTGATTTATTAAATTTGAGTCGTTTTTATGTTTTTACTTAACTCTACATCCAGAATTATAGCATCTCAACATCTAAGCTCATAAAAAGATGTGTGTGTGTGTGTGTGTGTGTGTGTGTGTGTGTGTGTGTTTCTAGAACCTTATATATGTCTTGTTCCGAAGACACAGCTCAGTGTGGACCCCAGATTTTCCTCAGAAATGCATGTTTTGTATTTGGTTCATAAAAAGCAATCTTGAAAACTGATTTACATGCTCATACCATGCCATACGTTCTTAAGTTTCCAACAGTGAGGCTTCCTCCCTGCCAGCCACTCTTTGTCTTTTTTTTTTTTTTTTTTGAGACAGGGTTTCTCTGTGTAGCACTAGCTGTCCTGGAACTCACTTTATAGACCTGGCCTTGAACTCACAGGAATCCTCCTGCCTCTGCCTCCTGAGTGCTGGGATCAAATGTATGAGCCACCACTGCCCAACAGTGTATCTCTCTTCTTATATTGTGACTATGATGGCACAGAATCTAGAGACCTGGAGTCATATAAGCCACAGATTTCAGTAACACAATCAAGGGTTCGTTGAAAGGCAAGGCCAGAGCTGGCTTCCTTCAGGACAGCTCCTTCTACATGGCGAAAACCCAACTTCCCGTGTGCCTGCCCACACCCAACACAAGCTACTGCCCCCTGTTTGCTCTGCCTGGTAACTCCCCATGCGAGCCCCACAGAGTATGCCCCTGGATCTTGGACAAAAGTGCCTGCCTTCACTCCATCCTCTCAGATGTTAATGCCACCCAAATGTCACCTCCTCCAGAAAGACTCCCCTGACTCCTTCAGGTAGCCAACTGTTCCACATCTCTGTGCCCTTTCACTGGGACTGACTTCTCTAACAGTTCACACTGTTGTGTGTTTTATTGACATAAGTCACTAATGGTGGAGATGGAACTCCTTGGAATACTTATGAAGCCCAAACTTTGCAACTTCAAAATACTAGAGAAGTGTAGCTGTCATGGTTTCCATAGAGTGGTCCAGCTGAACTGCCTAATTTCAACTCCAGACTCCTCCCCAAAAGCGAAGACACTGGACATGTCACCGAAGTTTCTGAACCTCCTGTGACATTGCAACAGTACCATTTACCTCCATCAGGTAAATGAACCTCAGACAGCACTGAGCAGCTGAAATGGCATGTGTGGGCTGAATGAGATGAGAGATCTGAAGATGTATAACATGGGCCCCACTCCCAGGAAGCATATAGTTCATTGGGGCTGAACAGAGCCCTCAAGCAGCTTCCAGTCCAGAAGGTTGGAGAACTGAGCCCTCTGGAGTCCTTGGTGCAGAGGGAACTCAGGTTCTACTGAGCCAAGAGAGAGGCAGCATCAAGCCCTAGGCCTAGACTGCAATCCAAAGAAAGGCAGAGACAGCAGAAGAGATGCCCTGCTTTCTTCAGCTTTTCTGAGACAGCGGGGCATCCTCTCTGGCATCCCTGGTCCCCATACTATCCCAAATAGCTCCCAAAGATGAAATAACGGATGCACAAATAGTTTTGTCCAGAGGAAATTAACTGACATTGCTTGGTCACTCGCTGCTTTGGGAAGTTGTCTGGCATTTCCTTTTCCTCATTTTTTAATGAGCCAGAAACAAAACATTTAGAAACACAGAACAGGGATAACATCGGGAGATATATAACACACACACACACACACACACACACACACACACACACACACATTCTCTGAGACTTCAGGACTGTCTATCTGTTTAAAATTAAAAAAGGAGAGAGTTGACTGGCTGGGAGTAGGGGCAGCTGTTGGAACAGGACAGCCTTCTACTGCCTGGGTTTTCTGTCATCACCTGGGAAAAAAGCAAGCTAGAAGGGCAGGTAGCAGGTGAGAGGGGAGGATGGAGAGGCCAAGGTGAAGGCACAGAAGGCCACAGCAGCATGCTAAGTGGCCTCTGCTGGGGTGTTCTCACAATCAGCAGGGTCCTTGTGGGCTAGGATGAATGGCAAGGAGAGAATCCAGGAAGCACCAGCTAAGACACTAAGCTTGCTTGCTGAGTGTCTTGAAAAAAATCCTTCTCGGTAGAGAAGGGGGACATATAGTCCCCTCTGCAGTCAGCTGACAGATTTCACACAATAAAACCCAAGAGAGGAAGGAGACAGAGTCACCTTGCCCCCCACACACACACAGGGAGGCACTTCTTAGGGGTGCTGCTCTTGAACCCAGGCTGGAAAATGAGAGTCGTGGTAAAAACTAGACTTGAAGTAATCTCCCATACTTGGGTCAGGACCCTGGCTGAGTGGAAGTCATGAGAGATGATGGCTGAGGAACTGGGAAGAGGGCACTTCATTCCCTTCCCCATCCATCCCTGTCACTAGTGTGGACCCCACATGTCCCTGAGAACCTGCTGCATACCAGGCAACAAGCTGACCTAGAGAATATTGTGGGAGCTGTATACAAACTGCATACCAGGCTTTGGGACACTAAGCTCACTAGTACAGGTGCCCCATGTGATGGCACCTCCTGAAGACTTTGGCTGTAGAGACTCTAGCAGCCGCCCCCATGCATGCCTAGAAACCCAGGCTACCCCAGTCACTGGAGTCATTTCTGAGAAGGTTCATGGCTGATTCCAAGTCCCTTCCTGAATCTGCATGGTTCTGTTTCCTGAGGCAGCAACTTTATCTCTCTCTCTCCTTGGATGCCTCAAGTCAGCCCCAAAGAGAAGAAAGAGAAGCCCATTGATGTGTGGGAACTCTCCTCAGTACATGAATTCTCCACCCACTTCCAATTCACACCTGCCAAAAAACACCCTCCTCCTTCTACTGGCACCTTCTGCTTGTCAGAGAAGGCCAAGAAGCACCGAGAGGAGCCAGCAGTCTACCACGTCCCTCAAAGTCCCAAGTCCAGCTTTCATAGATCTAGGACATACTGCTGTGCAATAATAAAACCGACGCTTTTCCTTGGGAAGAACCCAGGCCTTGCTGATGAGACTAGAATAAGGAGCCGGTATAGGGGAAGGCGCCAAATGCCATAAGCTGATGTCAGATGAAGTGTCCTGGAAAGTTAAGGGGGAAAAGTGACTTGTGCCTGGGAAAATCAGGATCCATCATCTTCATGGCAAAATGATACCCAAGGTAGACTTTTTCAAAATGAGTAAAATGCTAAATGAGGAACAGGCGTTCTAAGAAGAAGAAATGGAACGAGCAATGATATGGAGGCTTTTCACAATTCTGGGAAGAATATCGATGGAGTTGGTGAATGTGAGAGGCAGCTGTTGTCACTACCCCTTCCTTCCTGTGTGCATGGCAGACATTACTAATGGATCACAGTACTTTTCCAGGAAGCAAAGCCCCTGGAATCAGAGTTGGTACCACAAATAGAACCTCTTTACTACTCTGGCTGCTGGTGATACTGAACGATCCAAGGAGGAAAGCCCAGAGCACCCGAAAGAGCATTCGTGGGTGAAAAAGCAGAAAGGGCATGCTGAGGCTGGATCATCACTCACTCAGTCCTCCTTGGTGGTTCCTTCCTGAGCCTTGCCCTCTGTGAATTTCCTCCCAAAATGGCTCCATGGGCTCTGGGGAGATGACTCAGTCAGAAGAGCACTTCCTGCACAAGCATGAGCACCTGAGTTTAGTTCCCCAGGAGTCACATCAAAAGCCAGGCAGGGCTGGTCTGTGCCTGTAACCCCATCCCTGGGGCCGAGGGAGGGAAACATCCCTGCACTTTGCAGGCTAGCCAGGCTAGCTGAATGCCTGAGCTCCAGGTGAGAGACTGTCTCAGGAAAATGAGGCAGAGAAGCAACTGAGAAAGATTTCGTGTTGTCCTCTGGCCCCATGCATACACACACACACACACACACACACACACACACACACACACAC